GGGGCGGGCGTGTGCGTGCGGGGCGAGCCGGCTGTATATAGAGGATGTGCCGCTGCATGGCTCGCCCCGGCCGCTGCCGCGCCAGGTCTCTCCTCGGGCGCCCGTGAAGCCTCTTCGCCCTCGCCGCCTGGGCAGCCGCTTGGTTGCCCGCTGTAGGCGCGCCGAGCGCAGCTGCCGGCCGCTCTCTCGGAGCCGTTTCCGGCGCCCCGGCGTCCCTACCGAGGCGGCCGCCTCCCGCGGCTTCTCCGCTCCGGGGGAGAGAGCGTCAATGCGGTGCAAATGGCCGGGGCACAGCCAGGGGTGCACGCTCTCCAGCTCAAGCCCGTCTGCGTCTCCGACACCCTGAAGAAAGGCATCAAATTCGTCAAGTGGGACGATGTGAGTAGCTTCCCCCCCTCGCCGCGCCCCACACGGGGCAGAGCGGCAGGGGCACGGCGGGGTTATGCAACGCGCAGGGCGCATCGATCGGGCAGGAGGGCTTCAGCACACATGTTGCGGCCGGCCGGGGCCGCGGTCGGCCCGGCCTGGCCCTGTCCCTGCGAGGCAGCGGGGAGCCGGGGCGGGCCGTCCCGCGGGGCGCTGTGCGCGCCTCGCCCGGTGCGGAGGGCAGGTGTGAGGCGGCGGGGCCGTCCCACGGCGGGAGTTGAGTTGGCGGCCGGTCGGGGACGGTCGCGGTGAGTGGCGATAGGTGCCCCCCGCCCCGGCTGGGCGGTCGCCGTGTGGAGTCCGGGCCGAGCCGAAAGGCGGTGTTAAACCGCCGGCCGTCTGCCGGGCGAACTTTCTCCAAAGGTTCTTCCGGCTCACTTCTTTTGGCCGGTGCGAGCTGTGTTGAGCTGGCTCCCGTCGCGAGCGTCTTCCTCTCCTGCCTCCCTTGTTTTATTGTGCACGTTGCCATCTCTGTCGCTGTAACGTAGTTGTTTCAACCTGTTCCCTATCTCTCTTGTTCCATCTCCTGTTTCCTTCTCCCGACTTCTTTCCTTCCTTCTGGCTCCTGCCCTTCCCTTTGTCTCTCTGTCTCTGGGGGGGTTGTCAAGCCCTGGACACATTCTCCCAGGGCTTGCTGTTTGGGTACCCGTGCTCATCTTTCTTCTTCTGCAGAAGGCACTCTTCTTTATTGGCTCATTAGGGCATGAGATTTGCCTCAAAATCATATCTGCTTTCCCCTCGTCCCAACGCTTTACACTTGTATTGCCTCACATAGAGAGGAGTGGGGTTTTCACTTCCCCTTTGGTAGCGCAGCTATTCGGCAGCTGGGATTTCTTTCTTCACTTGCAGGCTGTGCCCAGGACTGTTTCAGAGAAAGGTAGCCTTTCTCTGTTCAGCTTTCCCCTTCTCAGAGCATGAAAGTAAGCCTGCTGTGCTGCAGAGAAGAAAACCAGAAAGGACAAGTCCTCTGCTAGCCTTGCTCCTGCAATAGGACATTGGGTGTTTGTGTCTCAGTTGTGCATGGAGGAGGGGGTACCCCTAAAAGTCTGTCTGTGAATGGTGTCTGGAGACAGAGGGGCATAGTGAGACTCAAGCTGTGGTAGAGAAGTGGTTGGGAAGGAAGGCAGGTAGTTTGAATGTCAGGAGAATTGTTGAGGATAACTTGCTTGGAGAGCCTTGACGCAGCTCTCATTTTTGCTGCAAATTCAGCTGTGCTGAAGACATCCACAGCAACAACTGGAGGGACAACAGAGAGAGAGGGAGAAGGAGCAGTTCATGTGTCTAACAACTCTTCTTGTCTCATTATGTATCGCTGTTTTGCCATTGCTTTCAGCCTGTCCAGCGGCCAAATGTGTGAGCCTGACCTCTACAAACCTGTGATAAACACTCTCACAGAGGGAAAGAACACTAAGAAACTGAACAACTTGTAGTGTGAAATTTTATTTACAATAATAAGCTAACATATTTTTAATAAGCTCAGTGACCTGACCTTGTCCGCAGTAGTAAACATCGGCTTGACACAGGTTATTCATATTCGGAACTAAGCTTGTCTGAGAAACTGTTTTCCTTCGGTTGATATTTTCCTCAGTGTAGGAAAAGGCAGCATAACCTCAGCCTTGTCATTGCAGTTATTGTTTTATATTTGGTAAGCTACCAAGAAATTTCCACAGGTATATGCAGAGGTCGAGTTAATGGTGATTTAAGTCTCCAGACTGGAAGTCTAAGCAATTAGGCAACAGTTTAAATTATTAGTTTAAGTGCTATTTCTTAAGCAGTATATTGTATACATAGAATTTGAAGGAGAAGAGATGTTCTCCATGCACAGTGGATGTTTAGTGGCTAACCTGTCTGCTTTAGACTAACTGGAAAAAAGATTTTTCAGTGGTAAACCTAAAGGCTGCAGTAATAAAATACAGCTAAATTCTCTTTATGTGCGTCAGGTGAAAAGTGTTACTCAGCAATACACAGGTATTACCTGGAATGTGTGACTGAGATGAGAAAGAGTCCTGTTGTGTTTAGTGAGTGCTTTCATCAGCAACCTTGTGAAAGTTGATGCGTATTTAGCCACGCTGTGTGATGAAGAGTACTAGGATTAACTCGTTGTTGACCATGCATTGTGTGTGTATGAATGCATTTCCCAGCCACCAGCCCCACTGTCTTGCCTGTAGTGTTTCTTCTCAGTGGTGGAAGCCCCACAAAATCAAAGATTTCAAGGGAAATGAATCTCATTTGGCACTCTGGCTGTAAGAAGGTCTTCAGATGAATGCATGTTCGGTGACTTTGAAAAGTATTTGCCATTGAGTAGCCAATCACCACTTCAGAGTCTTTGTTTTCTATCAAATTAATCTGCTTGAAGGGTTTTTAAAAAAATGATTATTATTAATCTGCACCTCTGTGGTCTCTCATGTAAATAGGCATGCACAAACTCTCCAGTGAAACACTAGGCTGTAATGAGAAATAGTAAACTACAAAATGTAACAGTAAAATAGAATGGACCATAACGAGTACTTTGGATCTGCTGTGCTAAGAGGGCTGTTGAGAAAAGTGAGGCTCACATACTGCTGTTTATTACGCACCGTTTTCTATTTACTGTTTCTGAGTGAGAACGGGAGTTCAGTTCTTCCACATCGCCTGTGCACTAGGGCAGCATTTGTTCCTGTCCAAGACGTACCCTTGTAGTACACTTCCCTGCTGTTTTGTTTTGCAGTTTAAAGATGGCTCTATTGACTTTGCTTCACATTTCATAAAGCAAAAGAGTGTTTTTGGTGAATTCCTATGACTTGTACGAAGTTTCAGCCCAAAGCAAAATTTTTCCAGCTGAGTTATAAGCCACTGAAAAGTAGCGTTTTTTAAATGGGAATGCTGGAAGGATTTAAACCAGAGCATGAGAGGCGTGTAAGGAATTTCATGGTGTATAGAGTAACAGTTGTTAAAGAATGTGTTTGCCAGCTTTTAGAAGGATGCCATAGCGTGGTGTGCAGAACAATCCGACAAAAGCTGTAGAGATACAGACTTTAAAACTGATCCACCCATGGACTTCCCATCCTGAGCATCTAATAGCTCTGTGCCTAATTAGTAACTCTGAGGCTGCTAATAAGCAGATGTGGTACTGATGTTGTTATACAGACCTCCTCCCTGAGGAGCAGCAGTGATGTCTGCTACATGGTACGCATGAACCTCATCCAGTGCCTGCTGCCGCTTTGCCCCCCGCCCCGTAATGATGATCCAGTTTGAAAGAGAAACGCCTTGCCTGAGCTTTGCTAAGAGAAGAGGAAGAGGTTATGTCAGCCATTCAGGATCACATAACAGGCAGGTGGAAGGCAAGCAGCTCAGGAGGCTTGAAATTCCACTTCCTCTATGGACCATCTTCGGTTTCTGAATTGTAAAAGCATTAGGATCAATTAAAAATTTCCAGCTTTGCAAGACAAGTCACAGTTTTGTGCATCGGGATTGGATGTAATATCACTTACGCCATCCAATGCCTGATACAGTCTATTAACAAATTCCATTTTGGATCAGGATATAAAGCACTAAAGTCAAACAGATGATTGTTGTCCTATAACTTTGCTTTTCCTCACGTTGTTTTATTCTGTAACAGTATTACAGGACGGAAAACAAATTTTAGAATTAACTCTTGTTCTTGATGTGTAGATTGGATTCACAAGGCACTGAACAGAAATAGCTGATATTTGAATAGGTGAAAGATAAAAGTGACTGGTTGCTTAAGTGTTTTTTTTGTGAATGTATGCACATATGTGTCTGGTTTAAGGTGCTAGTTGGCTGAGCACTTGCTTCTTCAAGTGATGTTTCTTCATGCTGTTGTCAGTTGGGCCTTTATAACCACTTCTCCCTTACTACTGGGAAGAGACTCTGAGTCTCTTAAGTACTGGTCTGGTCTTTGAACAGTTGCAGTCTTTTATTCCTAGAGAAAAGCAATAGCTGTGAGAGGGAAAGCTTAAAGAAGTCTGCTGTAGTGAAACCCAGGTTATAATCGCTCTTCCTGATGAGAGTTTTAAAAAGGTTAAATAAATAAATAAAAAGGATGCAATTGAGTCCATGGGTGAAGCTTTTTTGTAGGGGGTTGAACTTAATGTAGCAGAATGTGTTGTTAGCTGAGAAGGTTAATGAAACCTGAGTGTAAAGGGCAGCTTCTCTCAGGACTGATCTGACATCTGAAGGGGCTGAAACCTGCCTTGGCTGTCTTTTTTCCTTTATTTTTCTCTGGCCTGTAGTGGGAACAAGGCAGACATAACTGAGTTAACAAATAGCTCAACAGCTAGAGCACAGCTGAACTGAAGTTTTCTAAGAGCGGTAATTGGGACACTGAAGCCAGTTAATATGATGGTGTATATTAAAAAATAGATTTGTTTTAAGTTCTTGCTTAAAGGCTTTCTTATCTTCAATAGTGATAATATGTACTTTGCATAAAGAATTTGACTGGTCTCTCTATGACTTACACTATTTACTTTTACTTGCATGTTAACTATATCAGTAAGGTAATGTAACTGTACCTAAATTGAGGGACGTGATTCCAATTTTATAGCCATATATTTTTTCTAAATATTTAGTTACGAAACAAACCTCTTGATAAGTAGTGTTGTTTAGTGGCTACAGCACTTCACCAGGTATTCCAGTGAGCAGCAGAATTGAACCCAGGTCTTTTAAGTTCTATTTTAATGCCTTTCTCTCGGAGCACTTCTTTGTCTTTAAAAGACATTTTTGAGCTCAGATGGTAAGTGCTATGTAAAGTTTTTGGGCTTCTTTGTTTAAAATTTTCTAAAGAAGATTATCAAGTGTATGAGATACATCCCCTTTAACCTTACAAGTAAATATAATGTCAGAGTATTATTATTATGGATAAGCTGAAGTCAAACAAAGACAAGACCTGGAATTATCAGAAGTGATTTTAAGATGTTGATGCTCAGGTAACTTTTTTTTTTTCCCTGCCTTTT